TCTTCTGCCAAATATCAATAGAGGGCCATCAACCCACTGTTAGATACACACCCCGATTCCACCCACGTGTTGTCAGGTTGGACCCGGGCATCAACACCCATCCCAACATGATGGTTTAGAGGTAGAATGAAACACAGAATCACCATTCAGGGTAGATGGACTGTTCTGACCGTTCTATTTCAACGAATCGTTTCTAATTGTACCAACCTGAAAATTCACATCAAAGGATTTTACAATGGCACAAATGGGGTCTACGAGTGCAGGCAAGTACCAATTGATATAAAAATTATAACTTAAACCATGACTTTTTCAAACACGATGAAACAGAACCAAACTGTTCTGTGTCGTCCAACTGCTGCCCCAGCAGCATCACAGCTGTGGCTGACCAAGGTCAACTCTGCTCTTAGAAGTGGAGCGAATCGATTTCCACACGCTGCACGCTGACTGGCATTTGCAGGCGAACTTCCACATGCAGCCGTGTCTCAGCACAGCTGCTTCATTAGAGAAAAAAAATACTACTGCTTGAGACTCGGATTTATAATTTTATAGGGACGAGCCACAGACGAAAGAACACCAGTGTGACATATGTAACTTCATTTCAGGAGAAGAAGAAAATGAATTGGAAGATAGATCCTTTTTTTGTTGTTGTTGTCTGCTTGGTTTGTGTTGATATGAAAAATAGACCTGGTAATAGTTTGAAATAACGATTTTAGATGCGAGCAGTCCCCAGGAATTTGGCTGCAAATTGAGTCTTTAGCTTAACTAGAAGCAAAGAGTTCGCTGTTGCACTTGTCATCTTAGAGGCTCGACCAGAGACTGACTTTTCTTCCTGACCAGGAAATATTAAGGGTTAAAGCACTTCATGTAGGGCACTCGCACTGAGTTTACAAAATCTCAACTGTGTCATAACAACGTACCAGCCTCTCAGCAAAAAGTCGCCTCAGTGGACGCCACGGGAAACATTAAATTAGGAATTTGGGGTGAGGTAAAGGCAACTGCACAAAGCAGATGTGGAAGGTGGGGCTTGACATCTGCCCCATGATCTCAACCACTGCCGAGCTACTCCAACTTCAGGACAATAGACATCCCCTAACAGACCTAATTGCTACTCTGATGACATTTAACAAGCCAAAGGAAAATGCTGAAGAACTTCACAGAATAAAATGCACCTTTTTTTTTCATTTTACACAGAAACAGTTTCTAATCTACTACTGCATTCTAGTGTCAGAAACAAGTTCAGGAAGCACCACCCCCTCAGCTCCCCGAGACATCGCATCAGGACAAGGACGGTGGCTTGCCACGCTAGCACAGACGCTTTTAGACACTGATTTCAATGGTCCTATATGAACCAGAAACCATAACACAGGTGTCAATCATCACAAGCAGGCAGCACGCCACACTCACAGCTACAGGCGGCTGTACATTAAGGGCTTTCCACGGAGGTGTCAACACCTCTTTCTAGGCTGAGACAAGTCAGTGCCCACAGAGGCCAGTTCCAGAGCCGCCATGTATCCACAGAAAGCAAGACCTGCCTTCTATTCATGCCTTT